ACGCAAGAAAAGAGCCTACGTCGACCGCCACGAGAAAACACAACATGATGAACCACAGCAAGAAGTTCACGTCTTACTCGGCGTACTTTGACGACGTCAAGATCCTTCCATGGCAACATTCCAGACTACAGGGAAAAGACCGGGGAGTCCAAAAGCGAGGAACTCGTTGACTTACTTACCCAGCCGACGCCCATTCAGCAACCGATTGAGAGTGTCCATGAGGTATTCAACGCCGGTGGAGCAGGAGACACAAGGCCTATGCAAGTGGCCTTGTCCAGGACGCAGAATTCCTGTGCCTGTTCTTACTCCCTGTCGTGCCCTCCGGTAATGCCAACCATTTCATCATCTTCTCTTCTCCACCTATAACCCTTTTATCACTTCCGCCACAACTGGAGCACCTCGAATTCTGTTGCTCCAGTGTAATACCACAGACGCAAGCGCGCGAGGTTCTAAATCTCATCTTTGTCCGAATAAAGGAGGCTCCCGCACTTGAAGCGTCTTATCATCAGTGGCGCCTATGAGGGATCTAGCGGTCTGCTCGTTGATTCTGTCACCGAGCAGCGCGTATCCCTCAACGTCTACAAGGAGTGCACCGACATCAACCGGACCGCCGAGAAGTGGTGCTAGGCAGGATATCTCGAGAAAGTGGAAATTCCGATCCTCACTGGGAACCGCAAATCCGAAAAAGCGGCCTCGGTCATGCGTCGGAGGTAGCAATCGCTCGCTTATGATTCCTTTCAGAGACTTCCCTGGCCGTGGACGCTCAAGGTTGTTGCGCCGGCGGAGCAGGGGACCAAGGATGCTCCTGCTGGTGTTGTTGTTCGGGACTCAGAGCAAGCGCCTGTCGATACTCTTGACGTCTCGTCGGTGCAGTTGTCCCCTTTACCATATATATACTTCCCATCATTTTCGTCCTGAAGAAGCACTGGCAGCAGTCGCCAGCCCAGTAGCACTTCTGAGACCTCCTCAGTCGCTGACTTCGGCACCGGTGGAGCAAGAGATCCTGGAGATACCGCCCCTGTTGGCGTCTTTGTCACAGTGGTAAGACCCGATCATATTCTTGTTCTGCTGCCGCCGTCCCCACGATGTATCTGTCTCGTTCGCCCTCGCCCTCCCCGTCACATCCCAGTGTCATGCTTCGGGACGGCTTGATGATTACAAGAACACCATGTCAGAGCTGCCAAGTCCTGCAAGCCTCCAAAGCTCATTAGCTGGTCTGCCAACTAACGCTGACATTGCAGAGCTTACCAGATCGATCTCCGCGTTGCCGACCTCTGAGCACGGCAGTCGAGCTTCTTTTCGGCGTTGGTGTAGCAGGAGACTGGACGAACCTGCCAGCCCCTGCTGCTGCCCCGGGTCTGGTGTATCTTCAAGGACGTTCCACGATGGATGCTTTGGCAGATAAGGAGAAATATCCAGTCACGTGGCTCGTCAGATGGCCAAATAAAGTGAACGGAGAACATGGAATCTCCGGAAGCTACTGAGGCGGAACGAAGGATAGCTGAACAGCGGGCACAAGCGGAGGACGCGGCGAGGGAGATGGGCGAGACGGGCACCGATAACTAGGGAGGATATTTTGCAAACAATTTCCCTCAGGACAAGAAACGTGGCCGAAATTGAATGCCGCTGGTTTCCCAAAGACTGCTCTCAAAGGACCGTACACCAAAGGTCTCGCACGAATAACTAGGGATGATATTCCGCGGACAATCCCCCTTGAGACAAGAAACGTGGCCGATGACAGTAGGAAAAGGAAATGAGTTTTTATCGAGAGAGCATTCACGCAATATGTTTGCGAGGGCGCTAGATGGAGTTTATGGGTGGGGGTGGGCTGTTCTCCTTCAATGATACCCTGGGTCCGTTCACGAAAAGGTCTGGGAAGGGAGTATTACAGTGGAGACGAATCGCTGTTCCGCACCAAAGTGCGGTAGAGATGTCGCCTGTATTGAGCAACCGCCCAGAGAGCAAACATCCAGAATTCCCAATCCCGATCGACGGTATTTCCTGAAGATCTGCGCAACAGCACAAAGTGACAGGAGCAAGAGTATATGTCCAAATTGGAGCGATCACTGACTACCGTCTTCAACCTCGCCTTTGCCGTCCCGAAACACTGTTCTAATTCACATCTAGTATATATCTCCAAAACAATGCCTTACTCGAGATACGCCATTGTCAAGGCGGTGAACCTAAGCAAGGTCATTCCCACCACTGAAGAACGGGAAGTTACGAGGCAAACGACCATCGCTGTGCAGGAAAAGCAGATATTAGTATATAATATATTCCCAGCAAACCGGACAAAGATATAAGATCGCCGTTCGCCCCGACGCTCAGTCGTAAGCAGCGGCTTGATCAGGGAAGCTACTTTCGTCCTCAACCTTAGGATGGGTCACTGCCAGGAAAGACAGGCCATTCTGGAGCCGGAAGAGTCGGTGTATCACCACCACAGAAGCGTCTGGCTGCGGTCCTCCACCCACTCGCCGAAGAAGAACGGAGGACAACAACGAACAAAGACATCGAAGAAGAAGCTGAAACGGCTGAATCTCGAGCGCTATTCCAAGACCACACCTTCGTGTCTTTCGACGGCGTCACAGGGGGAATTACCAGTTTCCAGGGCGGGGCAGAAGAATGGATGGGTGCTCTGCCAACATCCATCTCGCCCGTGTGTCTTTCCTGCCTATGCCGAGCCGTACCTTGCACCTGAAAGATGTCGAAGAGTTCCTGCGGGGTGGACATGACCTTCGGAAACACAAGGTTGGGAAGATTGCGGAATGGATGATACGGGATGGACCCGTTCTTGCGAGCGTGCAAGTGTTTGGAGAGCCAGAGCTTTGAGAAGCGGCAGATCTTGAAAAATCATTTCATTGAGTTGTCTGTTCTGGGAGGGCTGTTAGACAAAGCGCGATGCTGGAGTTGTATGGCTTGGTGTTGGAGCTGTGTGGCTTGGTCTTGGAGCTGTATGGCTCGGTGTTGGAGCTGCATTGCTCGGTGTTGGAGCTGTATGGCTCGGTGCTGGAGCTGTATGGCTCGGTGTTGGAGCTGTATGGCTCGATGCTGGAGTTGCCAACCATGCTTCTATTGCGTTGTTGAAGATCTTAGATCGTCGGGTGGATGAGTGGGTGAAGGCGAAGACAATGAGTGAGAGAACAAGAGGTCTGGATCCTGGGGCGGCGACTTTGCGAGACAGTTGGGCTTGATATTACGGGACGTTGTTTTCGACTTTGATGGGATAGAGGAGATGGGGTGGGGTTTCCATCATGATTGAAAAATATAGCTAAGTCTTGAGAATATGTCCCGTTGAAGTAGATCGTATCGACACGTGCGCTGTATCACACGGGTGCCTCGTCTTAATGCATTTTGTCCGTAGTGTTGGATACTGGTTATAAGTACGCCCTTCTCGCCTGTTATCGTCGTCCATCCTGAAAGTAAGTCAACATTGGGGAATAATTCGCTGCTGTCTGTTCAATACTTCAAACCCTTGTGGATGATCCATGCCCCTCCGAAATCAAATTTGAACTTCAAGATCTTCTTGGCATCCATACTTAATAAGGCCTCCATGATATTAATCTCAACAACTTCAAGGCCGAACCCCTATCCCTCAAACTTCCCCCCTCCCCCCACCTTCCCAAAAACCTCCTCCAAATGCCCCCAAACCCTCTCCTCATCCCCCTTCTCCCTCAACTGCCCAAAAACCTTCTCCCCGGCCTTCTCCCCCTTCGGCCCAACCCGATGCAGCCCACTCCCAAACCTCTCATCCGTCCCCGTCCAAACATGCCTCTCACCACTCTCCTTCGCATCCACCACTAGCCCCGTCGGCTTCAATATCAATTTCCCCGCCACCGCTAACACTTTCTGCATGACCCCGCCCAAATTCCTGACGATATTCGTATCCACACCTCCAGGATCCGAGTGCACGAACCCAATATTTTTGTTCGCCGGATCGGCGGCCAGATGCTGGAATGTCAGACTCGTCATGCTGATGGCGTGGTTTGCGGCGGTGCTGAGGGAGTAGGAGCCCGGGTTGCGGAGGGAGAGGTCGGACACGTCGAGGGCACCTTCGTGGCCGGCGCCGAGGACGGAGATGATGCGGGCGAGGGGCGGTTGCGAGGTTGATGTTGTGCGGAGGAGCGGGAGGAGTTTGGTTGTGAAGCGCATGCGGGAGTAGTAGTGTAGGGAGAGTTTCTTGTCGAGGCCTTCTGGGGTTTCTGTGGGGGAGTGTTATTCGCTATTCTTTTTTTGGATTGAAAAGGAGATGGAGATGGAGATGGAGATGTATGTACCGTCTCGTCCTTTCATGGTCAACACGCCCGCACTCAGGACTAGCAAGTTCACCTTTTCCTCTTTTGCGCTGATCTCCTTGCATGCTTCATCGACGTTCCGTAGGAGAGATACATCGCTCTGTATGAAATGCGTCTGTGCCTCTTCATTCAACGTCTTGAACTCGGTGATCAGACGGTCGGCTTGCTCGCGCGACCGGCCGATGAGGTAGACGCGTGGGGCTTGCGCATGGCGAACGAATTCGCGAGCAGTGGCCTCGCCGATGCCAGAGGTGCCGCCGACTGTAGCAATTGTTAGGCGGCCATTTGATCTGCGGTAGGTAGGGGTTGAGGCTTGCCGAACACTCCTACGAGGTTTGGTCCGAGATTCGTGATCGAGTTGCGGATTTCTGAAATCGACACCATGGTGGAATGGTTTGGTTATATGTCTCACAGAAAGAAGTCGTACTTTCGATAAGCAACTGGGAGTTCAAAAAAGCCGAGAGAATTTAGTTTATTCTACCTGCAGCGAAAGACGTCTGTTTAACAAGCCTCGCCTCCCTTGGATTCCTGAAATCGTCCGTCCGCCAGTCGTCCGCCGACCTTACTAAGCGGTCTTCGCAGACGCAGGAGCCCGCCAAGCCCATATGGACGAAATTCATCCCCACGCAGCCATCAAAAAACACCACCCACTCCGTTCGCATTCGTGCGCATTGGGAGAGTGTTTTGGGTATTAAAAAATCAAAAATGTACGCGGAGGGGGGATCGAACCCCCGACCTTCGCCGGGCAATGCGTTGGGCGCATGTAAAGGCGACATCATAACCACTAGACTATCCACGCAGATTTTCGGTGTCTTGGTTTTAACCGTTTTATTAAAAAGTGATAAATACCCAGCCGAAGCCTCCCTGTCAGGAGATAGTCAAAAAGCTTCCTGGAACTTCAACGAAGGCCCGCGAGAAGTATAAATTAAACAACGATGAGTAGGGACAGCTGTTCAGTCCCGCTCGCATGATTCGTAAGAGAGTTGAGCCGGAATTCCATCGCATTCGCACATTCCCGGCATTCTGATTTGAAGAACAGGGGGTTACTACACCCCTTTCCACTCTGGACCATCAACCTTTCATCCATCAATCAACAATTCCACCAGCGAGAAAAACATCATGCCTCCCGCCCAGCAAACAATCAAAAGCCAAAAAATACTGATCTACAATTCCACGACCCCACCAATAATCCCCCCTCTCACTCCCTCTCCTCTCCACCGGACATACGCAAACTCCGCTCCCGCTTACCCTCCCTCCCTTCCTCTCCACCTCCTCAAATTCCTCTGATCTTCCAACCCACCTCTTCTGAAAAGCCGACATGCCAGAATACTTCTCTACCGAACTCCAACCATCCCATTTCAATTCCCTCAACACCCCATTTGTTTAAATTTACGTACACAACCATGTCCAGCCCAAAACTTTCCATCCTCTCAATCGGCCTCCCGCCCCAAGACCCCCGCGTACACGTACTGACGGACCCGGCGAACGTCGAAAGGGCTATCGATGAAGCGACGAGAAGGATGAGGGAGGAGGGGTAGAGTATGGTGGGTTTGAGTGTGTTGCGTGAGTCGCCTTTCATTTCGATCGCTAACGTTATTTTCGTTGGAACGTTTTTTTACTACCACTTTTCTCCTTTCAACCTTGTATCCATCCATCCTTCGCTCTCCACTCCTCCTCTTCTCTCCAGTCAATTTCTCCACTCCCATCTCTTCCTCCCAAAACCGTGCCCAGAGACAGATGATCTATCGAAGCATCAACCCCATCTCTAACCCAACCCGCCCATACCCAGCGCAAATGAACAAACAGGCCTCTCAACCTTCAAAACCAAACTCCTACAGAAAAAGGTCGACGCAGTGTTCCTAGGAGGTATGTTGCGAGAAAACGCACCAGGGGAGGGCTTGGATGAGTTGAGGAGGATGGTGATTGAGGCGGCGAAGGTACGTACTTGTCTATGCATAGATTTCGTTTGCTTTGATTTTCCTTGTCTGTTCAGTCTGTTATGGAATGGTATGTCATGGAATGTCGTATTGTGTCATCAACGAGATTGAAACTACACGAAACGGCGAAGTGGGGCTGCTGCGAGATTCGTTGTCCGAAACGCAGAGAATGGACTGCTGACGTAAAGTTCGCCATTCAGGAGACTCGGCCAGTTGTCAAGATCGTGCAGATGAAGAGTCCAGACACCATCGTCGAGGCAGCGCGGGAGTTGGAGAAGGAAGTTCGCGAGCAAGAGCAAGAACAAGAGCGAGATCAAGAACAAGAGCAAGAGCAAGAATAAGAACAAAGGCGAAAAAAAGAGCAAGTAGAAAAGTAAAATCAGTTAAACAAGACTCGAATTCCGACTAAATTAATGCTGCGATCTAAATCCAAGTTTCGTTATCAATCTCCCAACCATTCATCTCTGCTCTATCAACCTCTCCATCAAGGAGCTCAATGCATGTCTGATCTTCATAAAAGTCATCAAAGCCAGCTTAGCTTCCCTTCCACTTCCCCTTCCAAGCCAAAGAGTCCATCCCTGATCTTTCCACCCATCCTTGATCTTCCAGTCATGAAGTCGTAGCCGTGAGCGAGCGAGCCAGCGCACACACTTACTGATAAACACCATTAATAATAATGGGTCCACTATTACCCGAAGAACCCGCCGAGCTGCTGCCAGCGCTGGGGCTCGGCACAACATAGCTATCAAGCGGACAATTGAAGCTGCCAAAGAACGGCAGAATCGCACCCGTAGCAAACGCCTTGTACACGCCCAAGTTGGCCAGAAGACCCGGCTGCACTTGGCCGGGGATGGTGTCGAAGATGTTCTGCAGGATGAAGCAGCCGAGCTGCGCGGGCGTCATGGCAGTAATGTCCTGGCCGAGCGGGACGAAGTTGTTGAGGCCTTCGTTTGCGCCGAGAGGGCGGGGGGAGCCGGCGTACAGAGCAGCAATGTCGGTGACGAGGTTGGGGACGCTGTAGGCGGAGGCGCGACGGAACCACTGCGGGGGGAAGGTCTCGTTGAGGAAGAAGGGGGCGATGTTTTGGAAGTCGGCCTTGTCGGGGAAGGTGCCGTTGGGCAGGGCGCGGTAGACGAAGGCGCGCTCGGCGTGGGCGACGACGAACCATTTGGCGCCGGCGAAGAAGGTCGGGTTGGTGGCGAGTGATTCGTCGTAGGTGATGCCCTTCTCCTCGATGAAGGTCTGCTCGCCGAAGAAGCCGCCGTACTTGCTGGCGATGTCGACGAGGCGGTTCCAGCGGCTCAGCTTGAAGTCGGCCTGGTTGCCGAAGAAGGTGTCCTGGCGGGTGATGGAGTTGTCAATCTCGAAAGTGCCTGTGCTTGTCAGTGAGATGTCCCCAAGATGGCTGGGGCGCCGCTGGTGTTTTGCATACCGTGCTTGTCAAGGCCAAGAGAAGGGCCGAGAGTGTTGGGGACGCGGGAATCGGCTCCACCAATGGAGTATTTGCCAGACACGAGATCACCACCTGAGAGGAAGATTAGAGTCGCCCGATGAATCAAGGGGTTGCTTGAGCATACCAGCGATGACACCGAGAGCAGAAAGGACCGTGCAGAGGTCGTAGCCAAAGCCGTAGGCGATTTGGCAAGCATTCGACGCTTCAGCAAAGGTCGTAATGCCGGTGCGGGAGATGAAACCGTGGTTGGCAAGGGTGTTGAGGGTGCTGTATCGTGTTAGAGCAAGCTTCTGTTCCAGACTTGATCAACTTACGGGCACAATCCGCGAACATCAGTCGGGCCGGGGTACTTGAATTGGTTGGCCGCAGCGTTGCCAGGGATCAACTTCAAGCCAGTTGGTTGAGGAGTGGGCACATTCAAGTTCTGGAGGACACCAGAAAATGGGGCGAGGATGCCATTGACTGGAGTTCTGTAAGCGGGAAGTCTTTGAAGATGTGCGTCGAGACTTACCAAGTCCACCACCGAGGCCGCCGAGGATAGGGCTGAGAATGTCTCCGAGTCCCTGAGGATCAGCTTCGGGGGCAGCTTCGCGCTCAGCGAGGACTGGCTCGGCTGCTGCCTCCGCTTCTGGCTCAGGGGCAGCTTCAGCCTCAGCCTCACGCTTGGCCTTGTGAGCACCAAAGAAGACCTCGGCCATCTTGGGGTCACGCTTGACAGCCTTGTACTGCTCGTACTGCTCTTCAGTGAGCATACCAGCTCGCTTCAGAGCCTGGAAAGGGCATGCAGCGGCAGAGGCATAGCTCGCGCTGGCCAAAAGACCAAAGAGGATGGAAGTGCGCATCTTGAAAGATCAGAGAAGGCTCTTTGCTGGGGAAGTTGACTGGAGAAGTGGGCTGCTGGATGATGTTCAAAGGGGAGAACAGGCCTCTATTTATCTTTCTTCCTCAAGAGTTGAAATGAACACAAGTTTAGAGGAGCAAGGGCAACAAACGATGACGATCATTGATCATTCCCTTCCACGGAGATGTTTTCTTGAGAATAGGTCGCTAGAAAGCTGCCAGAGAGGTTGGGTGCATGAGTATGCAGATGATCGTCATAGGCTAACACCAAGATGAGGGCAAGCGCTGTGGCTTGGGAGACTGGTGAACCCGCAGCAACACCACCACTGCCAGCTAAACATGGCGGTGGCAATTTGGCAAGAGAAAGAGAAGACGTATTTCCGTGGAATACTCCGTACGCACAAAGCACTGAAGTAATGTCCAACTGGACGGAACAGGCGGCAAGTAAATATTAAAAAAACCGGAGAACTGGCGAGAGATGCAATAATTTTGTGGGGGGTTTCTTGAGGGTCACTGTGTGGAGAATGAGTATCATTGCACCAAATAAAACCATTCAAAGCCTTGGGAATTGGTGGATGCTTCCAAGACACTGTTGAAGGAAGGTTTCGAATAAGACTACCCAGTTATGAGATGGATTTGTATTGCTGCGTATTGCCGTTCAAGCGAATGTCAATCATCAGAGCATTTCTGGATGTTGCAGGACAAAATGCCAAGACTCAGCGCCAATGGGATGGAGGGCGTTGTTCAGCACGCTTGCAGTACCACTCAACAGGCAAGGATGCATACAGAATCTCACGGCAGATGCCAATGGCAAACTCGACTTCAGCTTGACTCGTTTGACTACCCGCGGAAGAGTACCATCGCAGAGAATGGGGAAAAGGGCAAAGATCTACAACATGGAAAAGAAAAGGATAGTTGAAGGGCAGGAAATCTCGAGCAAGACTGAAAGATGTGGAGAAGAAAGTCATGCGAAGCAAGCCTCACGGTGCTACAGATGCTGTATGGAGACGGCTGCGTCTCGGTCGCAGCAATGGTCTGCAGTATAAACGAACAAAGTAAACAACCTCGGACAAATGACCCGTATGCGATTGGGCAGAGGACACCTTCGGAGTGACTGCGAGATGCGGGCTGTTTTCGGCTGCAATATTATGTGCCTGTGGGAGAAATAGTCATACAGACGCCAGAGACCGCCATCCCGTTGTCCCCACAGCGTGACAGCGGTGTAACTTGGCTACTTGACAGCCTCGTGTCGCGAGTCGTCTGGCAACGCGGACCGGGAAACGGCGGGATGCTCAACATTGCAGATGCGGGTCTCTTGAAGCTCCTGTGATACAATTTTCTTCTGGGTCACTTCGGCGAATATCCCGCATGGATCTGGTCAAGGGGGTGGAAAGGAACAGGGTGAGATCAACGGAGAATTGGTCGAGACGATGGGATTGGCAAGGCACATCCTGATCAGGGGAATTTCGGGCCCTGAGATGAGCAGTGTGATAGTCAAGGAACGGTCCCATAGAATGGTTACCTTCAGATATTTCTTCCAGGCCAATACGGCCTCTTTCGTGCCAATAC